CAGCAGAGCCAACATTGAGGAAATGGTAACTCAAGTTCCCCAAGTGGGTCAATGTGAGCTATTGTGGCAGAGGCTACTCTTACCTCCAGGCTTCCAGACTTGTGTTTTCTACCTAGTGGAGTCAGAACATTCTACCATATTGTGGCCATATGTGCATATACTTCATCTTTAAGTATTCCCCAGCCCTGTAAGGTATTCTCATGTTGCTGCACCTTTAAGAGGCTATTCCAATATTTTATCAGGGCTGCAGCTTCTAGGTGTACACACTGGAACCCATGGACATTTGCATATTGTTGTACCATCTTCATTGTAAAGTGAAGCAGCCTTTGGCATAGGATATGAGTCATGAGCTCTCAACAGGGGCAGTATTACTCTCAGAAAGGTGAAAATTGTTTTTTGATTGGCAAAACAAATCTTACTCTTTTTATGTATAAAGCACAGATATGCATACAGTGCATAATCAGATACAGTATATCTGTGGTGTTAAAATTTCATAAGAGTGGTGATTAGAAAAAAATTGTCTAAAAAGGCTCCTTAGGGGAATGGCAGTACTTGAAATACTGGTCTAAGGTAATGTTATGTGAAATTTCATAAAGATACATTAGACACTCTATTAGCCTTTAGGTTGGCTAAGGCACTGCCAGCTGAAAAGGAGAATCTAGGAATCAATCCCAGTAGAGATGAATTCCTGCCCCTTCCAGAGTGGAAGGAGTTTGATGGAATCAATTTGCCACCAAGTGGCTGGTTGGGCTCCTTGAGGGATGGTAACATTTAGGGCTCAGCTTCAGACTCTGGGGCTAATTGGTCAGACATCAGAGATCAGGCCTGGTGAGCGGGGGCCCCTATAGAGTTTTCATCCTTGTCACCATAGTTATTCTGTTCATGAACCCACTGAGGAAGCACTGGAGTGGCCAAGGAGAGGCTGGCTAGACTCCACCGGATGAGTTCCCTGACCTGGTTGTTGTGCACCTCCTTTGATAGATACTGTTTTGTGTGCACTGATGTAAGATGCAAAGATTTGCACATTTGTTGCCTATTCATTTGCTATTCCTCATGATCATCCTCTACTTCTTCCAGTATAGTTACTACTTTCTTCGACCCCATATCTCTTCAGTCTTCTAATATTGTTCC